CGGTGAGGGTCCCACAAGGCGCAGCAGACCTCTCCTTTCACACCCACTGCTCTCCTCAGCAGTGTATTTAGTTAGTCTGCCTGTTCTCTTCCCCGCTGTCTCTGGCGAATCCTCTTACCCTCTTGCGCATCTGGCCTGTACCCCAGTTCTTGTATAAACAAATAAATCTTTAAAAAAAATAAGTGGTGTTTCTTCTTATTTTCTTTGAACCATTTGTATCATCTGTTTGTTCCATCACATAAGTAATATAAAATTACATGTATTTATTTTTTGATCTGTATGAGTTATAAGAATGCTTTTCCTGGAAAAACACAATCACACTTTTGCACTAAAACAGCAGAGTTTAATAGTTGTAATGGGTCCTCCTTGGTGGTGTAGGGGTTAAAGTCAGTGCTATCAAGCTATTACCAGACACTGCTGCATGAGTTCAATCCCTGGCCTGGGAGCTAACCCACATGGCACAGCATACCTCTCCTATCTCAGCCACAGCAGTGTGTTTCAGTGAATCCGCCTGTTCTGCTCCCCATTCTAGTGAATCCTACCCCCTTCCCCTCACCTCTGGCCTGCACCTTAGTTCTTGTATGCATAAATAAATCTTAAAAAAAAAAATAGTTGTAACAGAAATTTATGGCTTGGAACTGAAAATATTTACTGTTTGTCCTATTTTTGCAGGAAGAGTTACCTATAACTGATTTAAATCATACCGACCATTGCAGAAATTTAAGAGTTCTAATGAGGAGTAACCATTTTCAACAGACATTTCAGTTCTCATCTTCATTTATAGAAAAAAAAAGATTTAAAAATACAGATTAAAATGGCCATATCTGTGTAGGAGTTAGGATTTAAAAATTTACATTTTTTCATTAAATCATAAGCTTCTTAATTGAATCTTTTAAAATAATTTAAGTTCATTCCTACCATACATAAAAAAGGTCAAATTGCCTGTATCTGCCCCTATATTAATTACCAGACACATTGAATTGGAGGACACCAAAATCATCCACCATATTACCATGTTTTTGGAGTAGAGTTAAACTGAGAAGAGCTGTTCAAGAATGACTTCTGCAAAACAAATTGATCCCCTCAGATATGTATTTCAAGATTCAATTTCAAAGGGCTTATACATAGTCAAGAAAGCCTCTTGCTTTCTTGGTGATAAACACAATTGCTGTCACTAGAGGGAGCTGGTTTTACATAAAATTGTGGTAGAAATATAAAAAGGGGGAAGAACACGTTGTTATTCATGTTTTTTAAAGTATTTTCAAAATAGCTTCATTTTCTGCAATAAATTGTACCTGCCAAGTAATTACTTTATGAACTGAAAGTTTTCCTCAAAGGACTGTTACCGTTCCCAAAGAATATCTGATACTCTATTTTTGATCATGGAATAAACATTTTTATGGGATATTGCTTAATTTTCACATAGTAGTGTTGATGTTCATAATATTTTAATTATTCTTTATCTTTAATTTTGTTTAGAAGAGAATTCTGTCATTTTTTCAATTTGGTCAATGTGTTAAGCAGAATTTCAGAATGCAGAACATGATTTTCGTGAAATTGCCTCTTTATTTGATGGAGAGAATATTAACATTTCTGTGTTACTTTAAAATGCCTAATTTTTAGTGAGTGGGAAAATGAAAAAAGAAGGAGTCATTATTTTATAGAGTTGGAAGAAACTGAACTAACACCTCTATTTTCTTTTTCTTCCAAGATAGTTGTGAATTTGTTAATCACAAGTTATATCTCTGAAACAGCTTTGCACTATAAGCAGAATTTTTACTTATTTACAACAAGGTTGCAAATTATGACTTTCAGGCAACAGGCTGGCAATAAAGTAACAGGCAATAAAATAAAGTTTTATTGAAACACAGCCACACCCAATCATTTAAGTGTTGCCTGTACTACAACTACAACAGCAGAATTAAGTGTGTGTCTCAGAGATCTTATACTCAAAAAGTTTAAAATACTATCATTGCATATAAATAAAGTTTGTGGAGTCCTACTTTAAATTATATTAATTAAAAAAATCTGTATTGAACAAATGAGTGGAAGAATGGAGGAATGAATGAATTGAATTATTTCCATGAGTGTGTGGCATAGAGATAAACTAAGACTTTTTTTTTTTAAACTGAGACATTCTTTGAGCCAAGTAAATTCACTCTTTTATAATGCTTGTATGTATGATTATGATTCTTTTTAGAACAATTTAGTATTACACAGTGGCTTTTCCTTCAGAGGACAAAAGTGCATCCAAATAGTGATTCTTTGATATCATTGGCCTATAGTTTGAGCTACCTGAGAGATATGACATGGAACTCAAAATTCCCAGGTTTTCTTATTTTTTTTTCCTGTTTCCTTAAGAACTTTTACTTGCATTAAAAATAAAAACAGACCCAAAATGGAGATACTCATACCAAATCCCACCAAGAAATACTTAACCTTATTGCAAGTCCATCTCCCAACTGCGGACACTTAAACTTATCTTTCTGGACAGCACTAGTGAGATCATCTATACAGGACCCATTTACCTTCCCGAAGTGAGGGTGGCTTTCTTTAAAATTGGCTTTCTTTTCTTTCACTGATAACCTTGTCCCACCTTCTTTTTGACTAGAAATACCTATTTTATAAAACTCCTCACTCCACACATTTCTATTTGCTAGATGAAATGCTGCCCTATTCATGAATCCCTTAATAAAATTAATTAGATCTTTAAAATTAACTTAGAATTTTTCTATTTAGCATTTGGAGCAGAATTCACTAAATTCAACTAAGAAATAGTTGGTCTAATTTATCTTGCTGCCATTTCCCTGATGCATTGATATCAATGCTTATAAATTCTTAATGAATCTGTTTTTAAGTTGAGGAAAAGACCTAATTTAGATATGGAATTGAAATTGGTAAAACATATTTGACCAGTTTGTGGACGTTTAATAGGTAAAATTGTCTCAGGCAATAAAGAACTTAGTTAATTTATTGACCAGCTTAAATACACACACACACACACACACACACACACACTTTACCTTGCTGACTTTAGTAGCTCACATTGTTTTTTAAAGATTCAGATTATACCATCCCTTGATATTATTTTGGGGAGTACTAAGAAATTTGGTATTTCTTGTATCTATCACAACTTTCATCTTAAGACTTTTTTAAAGTTATAAAATAACCTTGCATCTGTGCATCTGCTCTTGAATCAAATAGTGAAATTTTAAAATATTGCTAAAATACATAATTTTTCATTAGTTGCTCTTTGATTGTAAGTGAACCTATCAATATGAAATAGAAAAAATGGTAAGGATTTGACTTAAAAAGCAATAGCATCTCTTTCAAAGAAACAACTGACTGGAAAACAAAACAAAGCTGACTGCCTTTCCTTTCTTGTACTTCTGGTCTGAGTACTACCATGATAATCAGAGAGGTTTTGTTGTGGTGTCTGCTGGGAAGCACATTAACAGCTATTACAGCTGCCACCATCAGTCTGTTAATAAAAATTGTTCCTCTAAGTTGTATATTTTACTGTTGCTTTTCACCACTTAAAAGTCCAACAAAAGTTTATCAAGTTCTTGAAACCCTATTGTGATTCAAATCAATATGTTCAACAAAGAAAACTTAGTGATTAACTGTTGCTTGTAATTTTAACTTTGAATATATAGTTCTAAAGGAAATTTGAATCAGAACTTCTTAAATATTCATAAAATATGCGAAACAAAATATGGTATGGGGTTCATCCCTAAGTTATAAGAACACCTCTCAGGCTTGAGAATTGGGAACGGGATCGCTGTATTCCCAGTCTTATTTCTGACTGGAAGAGACTGAATTGTAGGTGACACAACTAAGTTTAAATCAGATTTTTAAAACCTGATGGTTGTGAATCTGGAAATCTGAAGGTCTATGAAATCACGGAAGTGCCATGCAGATTTTAATGTTATGACTATATGACATTTTTCTGGTATAATATCTATGATTTCTCCAGATTCTTTTTTTTTTTAAGATTTATTTATTTATGCATACAAGAGCTGGGATCCAGGCCAGAGATGCAGGGGGGTGAAAGGATTCACCAGAGACAGAGTGGGGAACAGAACAGGCAGACTGACTGAAACACACTGCTGAGGGGAGCAGCTGGCGAGACAGGAGAGGTCTGCTGCGCCATGTGGGTTGCTCCCTGGCTGGCTAGGGATTGAACTAGTGCTGCAGAGGCTGTGGATTGCTTCATAGTGTGGTGCTTAACCCCTTGCACAACCAGGGGGGCTCTCTCCAGATTCTTAAAGGAATTAATAAAATCAAGAATGTTGAAAGTGAAAGTTAAGTCTATTGAGATAAATTATCTTACAGAAAAGGTAAATTGTTCCACTTCATCTTCATGTTCACTTTTGTAGATCATCTAATTATCCTAAATCAAGGTTAATACAGATCCTGGAAACAGATTGAAAAGGTCCTAATGCCACTTACTAGCTATATGTCCTAACTTTTTGAACTTTAGTTTCCTCATCTACAAAACAGAATATAAAAGTACCTACCTCATAGGGTTGCTATGAAAAATAAATGAGTTAATAATTATAAAGTACCAATTATAAAGTACCATAAGTATTTATTTACAATGCTACATGATAATATATATAATACATACTATATTATTTATATATATATGTATATTATTTATGTAACAGTATTATCCCCATAGAAAGGGGAGGTTCCAGTTTCCCTACCCCATTTAAGGAAGGGTAGAGCTAAGCATTGAGGAGAAGCTAAAAAGGATTGATAGAAGAGATTGAAATAAGAGAAGACTGGGAAGAAGATTTGAGGAGACATGTGGAGCAGAGCTGTGAAGAAGTTACACTTCCTTCTCATTCTTTGACTTGTATCAAGGACTGGGGTGACATGGAAGGAGACACTTGAAAGAGACAGATATGTGGGTTAAAAACTTATGGAGAGGTCTCTATTTCATGATTGCCAGCAACATTTTGTAGTAGCAGATAATCCATTAGTGAAGTTATTACCAAATCTATGTTGCTTCCAACCTTGGTTCCACCACTTGCTTGCTGTGTGATCTAGATTATTTAAGGTCTCTGAGTTTCCTTGTCTTTTTCACCTATAAAACTGGAAAATAGTATTGACTTCAAGGGTTAAAATGAAGTTGAAATGAAATAACATACAAGAAAGATCATGTCACTTAACACACATAATTGTCAGTTTTCTCATCTATTAAATTGAAAGGCAGAACTCTTAGCCCCTTTCTAAGGTTTTAAATTGTTTGGTCATAAGGTTCTAATACCATACAAACTAAAACTCTCTGAACTTTGACAGCATCTGAAATATTAAGGCTGACATGCTATTCTTAATTAGCATTGGGAATTATTCATAGGTAAATAGTTTCTTAGTTATAGATTACTACTTAAATAGTCTTTTCATAAGAATAACTGGATGAACTTCATAATAATACTTTAAGAATGTATACTATTGAGAATTGATGGTATTAATGCAATTCGTGAAATTTTCCCAAGAGTTTACTTTCTACTTCCATGAAATTCTTTGGTCTCAATTTAAAATAGACTGGAAAATTGCAGCTACCTGAGAATGTCATATTGTAAATTATTGTATGTGCTAAGTGACTGTCATAAAATGTTTACACTTATATATTCTCTTCCAAATGATAATTGCATCATATTGTTTTCAAGAATTAGTGTGAATGAAACTTAAATTACCACCTTTTTCATCTGCATGGCCTTGGCTTCTCTGTTACATATAGCCTTTTAATATACGTGGAAGAGAATCACAGTACAAAACAAAGACGAGATCATAGGTGTTCTCTTTCCTATCTTGACTAATTGATTATCTAAAGATTAGAAAACTTGCATCATTCTAAATTTTCCCATGATCTAAATATCACCCAAATCAATCAGCCACTAAAATGTCCCTTATATCTGATCATTTCTCTGCATTCCTCTGGTGTCTTCTGGGAATATCAAAATTGATTTCTATCATGTCTTCTTGGTAAAGGGCTCTCTCTCATGTCCTCCTTTCTCCAAGTGATCGTCCCAAAACAAAGGTTAAACATTTCCTTCTACTCTTTAACATCCTTTATTGTTTTCATCTGAACTATTGTCTAGATTATAACCAATCCTCTTAATGTATTTTCTGCATGATTTGGTTTTAAGGCTCTTTGCTTTAGTCTTACATCTGGATTCTCCCACCCCTTACTTTATAGCTTATACAAGCAACACTCATACAAAGTTATTTTCAACGATCTCTGTCTTTGTGTGTGTATATGTGTTCCCTGTTTCTCAAAAGCTCTCCTCGACTGTTTCCATATGAAGAATACATCCTTATTTTTCCCCTACAACTCAAGCATTAGTTACTCTGAGATTTCCCATGTCTTTCCTTCCACTGAAGCAGAATCTATATCTTATATCTATAATACCATAGATTTTATGTATGTGCATTTTGTAGAATTTCTGCTCCTTCTTAATTATTTACTTGTCTACATTTCCCATTTGAATGTGAGATCTGGAGCCTATGTCTAAGTCATTTGATATCCCCAAGTCAATAACATCAGTAGTATATTTTAGGTTATTTAAAGACATATATTGAATACAAATATTTTGCATTTATTCCAAATTGCATGGAGTATTTATTCTCCTCACTAGTCCCTAAATCAAATAGTGAACAATGTTGGTGACTTAAAATAGTTGGCATGATACTTGCAAATAATGGTGAGAAATTTAAATAATCATACGAGCCACAAAGTGATTAGGTTTATGCACAAGTCCAATAGCCAATGCTTTAGACAGTGCTATAAATTCTGAGTCAAAGACTGATGAATTAGAGTCATTTGATGAAAAATTCAGAAGGAGTAATTTAAGCTAAGACTTAAAAAGTCTCTAGGATTTGAGAGCTAAGAAGGAAGTGAAAAGGTACTGGGAAAAGGTAAATGAAACAGTCAATTCATAAAAAACAATGAATTTCATTGCTAAATGTAAGTCACCTGTAAAATTTCTAAACAAGAATGTTCATCCAGTGTTGGAAAGGTGGGACAGGCTTCCAGTAAACAGATGATCAAGAGAAAATACAACCTTTAATGTAGAGGAATGTGTTGAAGGGTTGAACCAATGGACACTCCAAGAGGTGAGAAACAGAAGTATGGGAGACTGAAAAAAAGAAAAAACGTGGATATGTGAAAAAGATAAATCATTAAGCCAGTGATAGAAAAGGCTCTGGAGAGTAAAGTGAAGAGAAACTCCAAGAATTGTTTTCAGTCGTGGGTAGTCAAGAATGCCAATTGTTACAAAAAGGTCAAGGAGGATTGGAATTAAGAAAGGACAAATTAACTTGTCAATCAAAAATAATAGGTGACCTTTGAAAATGTAGCTGAGCAGAGTGCCTACACTTTACCTTCCTCTTAATCATCCACTATTTAATTCATTGGGTTAAATACAAATTTATTTTCAAACAATCTGGGAACTGAAAAAGTATTAGCACAAGTCAAACTCTTCCTGCCAACATAAACCACCATTGTTCCAAAAAAAACCTCCAAAATAAATACTGCTTACATTTAGTCTTAGTGTGTCAAACCCTTTCAAACTAGTGCCTTTCTCTCTGTGATTTCCTATGTGGAACGCTGTGCCCATTCATATGACTATATATCTGCTTCCTCCTTCCCATTCCTTTATTCATCTACCCATTCATTTATTCATTGATTGAGTAAATAAATATCTATGCCTTATCATTTCTACCTATTTCTTTCAATAATTCAATGATAATATTTATGTTATTGAAGTTCTCTCATCTCTGCCAAAAACAGGAGCAAAAAAGCTGAGGATACTTTGATGAGCCATAACAAAAGAATGTTTTATTTCCCATAATGTAGATTAAAAATAGAGTGGAGGAAACCCTAAGAAAATCCAAGGGGAAAAATCTTTTCCAACAAAATGTTTATTTCAGAAAACATATGACTTTATCTTCAAGTTTAATCAGAGGTTGTGTTGGCAAAAATTATTATGTTGACATTTGTATTTTCAGTCAACAACCTCCCTACTCATAATATTTAATCTAATTGGTTGCACCAAGTGCTTCCCTGTTCTTTGTCTCCTTTCAAAATCAATTCAGTAAATGACACATCAATCATTAACAACTGTATTTTAACTGGAAGTCAATAAGATTATTTTCATTTTGAGCCTTCATTCTAATCATTGTGTAAATAGACTTCATTTATTTTAAGCACTTTAAGGAAATAGGAAAAGAACTATTTTCAAAAGAGTACTCCCAGAGCCCCTAATTATTATGCACAAGAAAGCCAGGTCTGCCAATTGCCTATTACTCTCTTCCATTATCATGCCATGGTGATTATATAGTTGCCTTTTGCCTACAGAAATGCACAATATAGGAGAAGCAATTTCTGGGAAACCTTTAAAAATACTGTAATCCTTTGGTAGATTCTTTGAAGTCTTCCCCTTTTTTTATCCAGTCATTTTGAATTGTGTTTAATGATGTTAGTACACTGACATTTTGTCCGTTTTGATATCTGAGAGTTATTCTTTCCAAGATGATGCTATAACCAAAGAATTTTCAAGATCACCTCATCATTTTTCATTTAATGGTAGTAAATACAGTCATTTTGATTGTTATACTAGAAAGGTCTTTGTAGGAAAGTCATCAGAACCTATTGTGGGTAATGTCAATGTGAACCATGTGCTGCTACAACTACAGTTAACAATACTGTATTGTGTATTTCAAAGTTACTAAGAGAACTTAAAAGTTAAAATATAGGGGCCTCCCTGGTGGTGCAAGGGGTTAAGCACCACACTATGAAGCAATCCACAGCCTCTGCAGCACTAGTTCGATCCCTGGTCAGCCAGGGAGCAACCCACATAGCACAGCAGACCTCTCCTGTCTCACCTGCTGCTCCCCTCAGCAGTGTATTTCAGTTAGTCTGCCTGTTCTGTTCCCCACTCTGTCTCTGGTGAATCCTCTCACCCCCCGCATCTCTGGCCTGTACCCCAGCTCTTGTATGCATGAATAAATAAATCTTTAAAAAAAAGTTATAAATATAAATATTTTGTACTTGATCCTGTGGATAGCATGCTTTGATATTAAACATGTATTCCACCAACTTTCATTCTTCCCCAAACAAATGATTTATTTAGCTATCACATGCACAAATAATGTTGGTTTATAGTGTCCTTTGTATTTTGGGAGTATGTGATCCCCGCCCCTCAGGTGTTATTACCATAATGCACTCACCTCCAAAGCCCCTGTAGCTCACCACCAGAGTTCACTGTGCTCCTTGCCACCTTCTGCTCACCCCTCCCCATCTCCCTCTCACTCTGGATTTATCACACAAAATTTAAAAAATCTTATATGAGCTCTTTGAAATAGTCTGCGTAGTCTACAGTGTTTAACATTTTATTCATTTTGCTTTCTATTAATCTAAGAAATAGTTGTGGTAAATGTCAAGTGTTCCAGTGTCAACCTCCACTACCAGCTTCCACACTAATTTCATTTTCTGAAGTTGCTTCAAAAGTGGAATAGATGTAAATCTGGGTGAAATCTTACAGATTATTTGCTTATTCAATTATTCACAAATGTTTACAAGAAGGGTCTCTGATAATGACACTATGGTGGATGTCAGGCACTGATATGCTTGCTCTCATAAAATTTGAAGATGTCAGAGTAAAACAAAATCAAGTAGTTAACATCTATAAGGCACTTACTGTGTGGAAGGCATCCCTAGAAGAGTTCGATATGTTTAACCCTTTCAACTCTAAGGTCGGGACTTTGTCACCCTGTTACAGATGAGAAAATAGCTGTACAGAGTCAAGTTACATGGTCACCTGGCTGGTAAGAGGTGGAGTCAGAATTTTAACCTGTGTAATTTGGCTCTAAAACCTGTGTTCTTAAAAAAAGGAATCACACAGGGGCCTCCCCTGGTGGCGCAACAGTTGAGCGCTGGGCTGCTGCTCCCCTCAGCAGTGTATTTCGTCGGTCTGCCTGTTCTGTTCCCTGCTCTGGCTCTGGTGAATTCTCTCACCCTCCCTCACTTCTGACTATACCCAGTGCTTGTATGAATATATAAATCTTAAAAAAAAAAAAAAAAGGAATCACAAACAACTATAAAACCATCACTGTTTTAAATGTTATGAAGTAGAAAGATGGCTAACAGAATATATAATTGTTTATATGGAAAGATAAGGAACCTGGTAGCTTAAGGATTTGCTAGAGTTAATGAAGCTCTTATTTTAACAATGGAATACTCATATAATAAAGCTGTTTATTATTTCCCCTCTTTCAGACAGAGCCAGAGAGAAGTGGTATTTTAATTACCTAAAAATGCCCAAAATATACTTCTCACAGCATAAACCACCTCTCTGGAGCTATAGTGGTCTATCTTCCTGAAACCCCAATCCTACTTTTCGATTTCCAGAGATGTGTTTGCAATGTTAAAACTGTAGAAAATAGACCCAAGAAAGTGTGAGAGTTTCAGTTCCATTCCAAGACACACCCAGCACTTGGTGGATGGCGTGTGTTCCCAGCAATGCAAGATGTGTGTGGTTTAGTGGAAGGCATCTACACTGAACTGTGAAGTTTTGCAAATAGCATGAATGTTTACATACAGGGTACTGAAGCCAACTATCCAGTGATGTAGAACTATGTAATGTCTTTTTTTTAGCAATGTTAACAATGATCTGGGATTGTTTCTTTAAAATCCTCTGTGGTCAAGCCTTCTCCAGTGATCCGGGAGAGAGGTGAGAGAACAGAAAACTGAGTACTGAGGGGACTGACATATTTGCTCCAGCAAGACTTTAGTTTCTTAAGCCTCCCTCTCTGTGAGTTTCTTCTTCTTACTTCTAGCATTGGGTCATCTAGATCAAGGCTAATATTGAAACTCCACCCAATCCACTCAATCTCCGTAACATGAACGGTAAGCTAAGCAAAACTGTTGGAAAACGCTTCTGCTGAGTGGGAGGTGCGCCACTCCATCTTGCTGATTTCACATTCTATTCTATGTGGGAGTGAGAACACATGCCTCTCTACAGTAGCTTCTGGACAGTATTCACTGAACTCTATCCCATACTTTGGACCAAATAGAGGAGCTGATATTTGATGTCCAGGGTCCTTTGGAACTTTTATTATGAATTCTTCCTTTAAACTAAATTATCACATAAAGATTGTAATAATACTTTTAGTAGTTGAATATGGTTATTTTGGCAGAGATTCCCCTGTTCCTTTGGAAGCTTTCTTAAGGAGTTTACAGTTTAGGAAAGAGTATAAGCAGGTGAACAAAATTCTTCAATACACTCTACATCATCCTTCTACAGGTAATTCAGAAAAAAACTAATGGTGACAATTATTTAACCCAGGAACAGACCATCTTGGCCACAAAAAGAGCCTGCAGAGCCTGCAGTACTTTCAAGAACAACTTTCTAAGACTTTCCTTATACTGACAGAAAAGGTGTGAAAGATTTTCATAATCTCTATAATTGATATTTCTGGATGTGATGAAGTAGAATTACAATCAATCAAACAACAAAAATCCTGAATATAATCCTTTTCTAAAAGAAATTCTATTTCTTAACACTAGAAAAAAATATATGTGATACAAAACAAGGACCCCATATTTAAAACAACTGATGAAACATCATATGTAACTTTATGTTGTTATGAAGCAAGGAAGGAAAATGTACTAAAAAGACTAAAAGTATAGATTAAGAATGCAAAGGATTCAGTGAATTTATGGAAGTTCTACTTTGTGCTTTCCTCCCTGTAGTGGACAGCCTCTGAAATGTCCTCAGTCTCCTGGTGTTCACACCTCTTTTCTTCACTGTGAGCCTGACCCAGTGATTCCCTTTTAAAGAACAGAAGAAGCAGAAGTGAACGGAAGTCACCGTTCACTTGGCTTCATCTTGTCTTTCTTCTCTTCTGTAACTGAGTGAAGCCAGCTGTTCTGTTATGAGCTGTGCTGTGAGGTGACTTATGAGACAAGTTACTGGGTGTTTTAAACTGTTAAGTTATGGAGCAATAGATAGTTAATGTCCCCACCCTCTCAGAAATGAGGAACCTTTATGCTGAATCTTGAAAGAAAGAAAATGCTGCTTCTTCAGGTCTAAAAGCAAGGGGAGATGACTGATTTTGTCAGAATCTTCCTTGTTCGTTGTTTTTTTAATCTATATACAGTGGCCTGGCCTTTATCCATGCTTGGACTTTCCATGGTCTCAGTGACCCATAGTTAACTATGGTCTAGAAATATTATGTACATCAGAAATTTTGAGAGTGATGGAGAGAGAACATTCACATAACTTTTATTATAGCACATTATTATAATTGTTCTGTTTTATTCATAGTTGTTAATCTCTGTGTCCAATTTACATATTAAAGTTTATCATAGATAGGTATAGGAAAAAATAGGATATATAGAGAGTTCAGAATTATCCATGGTGTCAGGCATCTGGTGGGTGTCTTGGAGACTATCCCCCCCCCTGAAGGTAGGAGTGGCCACTGTATTTCACCAGTCCCTCCCCTGCTCCTTCCCACCTCCAGTAATGGGTTGGGGGTGGGGTGAAGGTGGCGATGATTGGAGCAGTGTCAGGTATGCGTGGAAACTGTGGGAGCCACAGTGGTTCCTCAGAGGAAAGACCTGGAGGTGACACATGTTCATTTTTCAGTTTCCATTTTAATTATACATTTCATTTGAAGAAAGCATAGCAACCAAAAAGTAAGTCTGGAAAACTAGAAAACCACTCATCTAGTACTTGTTCTTTCTAGAAAAAAAAAAGGACGAGGAGGTGCTCCAAGACATGAGATTTATTCTTGAGTTGGATACACAGTTCTCTGAGTTCCAGTTTCCTCTTGTCACATTTGAAGGTTAAATCACCCTTCCTATCCCCACCACAGAGTTGTTGGGAGGCTTACCTGTGAGCACTGAGCTTGCCACCTGTTTTGGAACATGCTAGCCCATGTTCTCTCCTTTTCTTCAGGATTCTACTCAAATACAGGCAAAACCTGAACTCCCCACCTCTACCTTGCCACCCCATCCCCCTTCCTTCTCTTTAACTCTAGTGATAGTTTTTCATCTCTTACTACCATGTGACACATTTTGTGTTCATTTGCTTGAGATGGTTCAGTTAATTTGCTTACATACTTTTGTCTAACTTACTCTGGGATGCAGACTCCAAGAGGGCTTGTCTTAGGCTATTTGGTTGTATTCTACATCCTCAGGAGTTAGAACACTGTCTGGCAGCCAGGGGTGCTCAATATATATTTCTTGAATGGAATGAATGAGACCATGATGTACACTCCTAATTTTTTGAACATGATCTTTCTAAAAGAAATTATTCTCCTTGTGAAACTCCTCTGGTAACTGTACCTGTTGGACACCAGGACAGCACTGACAGATTACCCTCACTTCTGAGAGAAATACTACCCCTTCATATTTTCAAATTAACTGAGGGTTTCCAAACCAGCTAATCTGGACACATGTTCTCTTTTTAATTTGATTTCTAAAGAAAATACTACATGAGATAAAAGACCAACTGCAACTCTGCCCCACATTCCAGCACACTCACTTTATTACTTTGACATACCCTTGAAACTGTGGTGAAATTCACAAGACAAGCTCACCTCACAGCTCCCCCTTCACGTTATGGTCTGGAGAGCTCCAGACACATCACTGAAGAAAACAGAACTTGGTAGAAAAGGAAAAAATAAGGCATCCAGTTCCCTTGCTTTATGAGGCTTTGCTTTGTGATACAGTTTGAATTCCTGGGCTGGGTTTGAGAAGAGATTTGTACATAATGTCATGTGAACTGAAGCTAGAGAATAGCTAATAGTGTTTGATACTCCTCTGTGATCATACTATAGAACAAAAATTGATTTAGGATGGCTAAACTTTTAAAAGAGACTTGAAATAATTTAAGATCAATCAATGCCCACAGTTTCTGTGTATGTGAGTGGATATATTACTAACCCAAATTTTGAAAGTAGAAATCTTAGAAGCATTTTTTGAGTCAGAGATAGTATTTTTTCTCTCTCCAATGATTTCTTTCCTTTATAGAGAACAAGAAATGTCATAGCTGCCCTATCTTCTGTATTTGTTCATATCTTATTTTCAAGGTGAATTTTATTTGCAGGCAGTATAAGCTGAATCCTGATTTTCTAGCTATAAAGGATGATCTGAAGAACAATGAGGATTAGCTCATAATTGAGTAGGTATGCACAATGGGTTCCTGAAAGCCACTCCCTCTACAAACCATTTTCACCCTAACTCTTCTATCAGGTCAGGTCAGGGACACAGACTGTTTCCAACCAGCATCTACACTGATTAGGCTGGTATGTGTTTAGATTAGTTGCTGCCCAGGACATCTTGATTGTTAAATATTTAAAATACTGCCCTTCATTATGATCTTGAATTTTTCTAGGAGGCACAGTGGTTCAAGAAATGCTTAAGACTAAAGATGTAACCTCAACTGCAGAGGTTGGCTCAGGGATGGAGAAGTGAGTGAACTTCAGTCCAAGAAGAGGGAATCTTAGTCTTGGTTGGGAATTCTAGGACAGAAATCTGGTATAGTTTCGAGATGGTGTGAGGTGCAGTCACTTTGTCACTGAATAAAACCATCCTGAAGGAGAAAGTGGTGTAAAGGGAAGGACAGAGCTGAGAGTATAGTAGGAAATTGTCGCTAGAGTCCTACACATATTGCACCGTAGTATAATCTACCTCTGAACTTTTTGAACTACAGAAGCTAATATATTTCCTCAAATGATTTAGATAATTTAATGTGGACTTATATAACTTGTAACAGAAATAACTCCAATGATAGAGGGATTTATCATTAGCCACGGTACACATACCGTTTTTATAAAGACTAAGATTATCTTTGGATATCTAAACTAAATGAAGAAGCTACAATTTGTTGAGCGTCTATTATTTTCCTGTTACTTTATTATTACTTTTTAATATCTAAGACAATCTTAAGAGAAATGTTATTCTACTCACCAGGTAGGCCAAATAAGTTTCAGAGAGAATATATTTCCACAACTAGATAATCAAGCCAGAATTGAAACCCAAAACTAACCTCAATGCTATTTTACCACATCCTCAGCATCCAATGCTCCTTCGCTTCATTGCATCACAGTGCTATAGTTGCCTGGGTTACTGAGGACCTTGCATGCCACCCCAGTGAGCTTTAGAAGTTTTTATTTGGAGAGGAGGTAGGTAAGCTCACATCACAGTGTAGAATCTTTTGAGATTATGTTGAAATCTATTGGCACTCTTCTTATGAAAAGCATATTTAAGGTTCATAAGACAACATTTTTGAGTATAATTTTCGTACATTCGCTGATTTCCATGAAGCTGTGATGCATCTTTTTATTTCCTTTTCTCAGTTTAAGAACTTTAGTATATTCTTTGTAGAACTACAGACTATTTTAAGTCAAAGAAATGATATAATCTCATATTGAAAATGTAAATTGGCAGTCATTATGGAAAACAATATGTACATTTATCAAAAAATTAAGAATAGAAACACCATATGCCCCAATTATACTACTGTGTGGTGTTTATCTAAGAAGGAATATGAAAACATTAATTCAAAGAGGTATAGCACCCCCATGTTCATGGCAGCATTACTCATGATAGCCACGAGTTGGAGACAAACTAAATGTCCATTGACAGATGACTGGATAAAAAAGATGTGGCCTATGTGCCCAGTGGAATACTACTTAGCTAATGGAATCCTGCCATTTGCAGCAATATGGATGAACCTAGAGGGTATTATCCTAAGTGAAATAAGTGAGACGGTAACAAGCAAACATATGATTTCACCCATATGCTGTCATAAAAAAAAGAATGAACAAAACAAAAAACTACAAAAATGAAATAGATGTTACCAAAAGGAAAGAGGAATGGGGGTGGATAAATTGGGTAGAAGGATGTATCATGATGGATGGAAATTAGACTTTTAGTGACCGTATAATATAGTATAAACAGGTGTTTATACATAAGTCTGTACATCTGAAAACTATATAATGTTATTGAAAGGTACGGCACGGTAAAGAAAAGGAGAGCCAGGCTAAATCTCTCAAAGGGAGGGAAAGTTTATTGCGCCCCGGGCGGACCTCACACACCCAAGTTGGGGGTCAGTGAAGCCATGCACGTTGTTAGGGGGACTCAGGGTTTTATAGGGTAAGGAGAGGTCAGGTGGGAAGTTGGGTTCGTATGGCGGGAAAAGTTTGTAGGGCATGGTTCCTGGGGCAGGTAGAGGTTCTTTGAGAAGACACTCTTAGAGGGAGGGGGAGGCTCATTGTCTGAATCCTCCAGGCAGGTATCCGCATTCCTGCCCCCCAGGTGGGCTTCCTGGTTGGCTTTTGCATTCTGGCCTCCTGCATGGACCTTTCAGTTATAAACCAATGTTGCCTTAATAAAAAAAAAAATGACATAATCTTATTTGCAATCTCCAAACATAATTTTGGTTGCTTCCATAAGACAGACTGGAGGGGGTAGTGAGTCCAGGTAGGAAACTGAATTCGCAGAATCAGGAAGAGCTGCATCTGGCTGTGACTGTGAGGACCCCCGTAAGGGATAAAAGGGAAAGTACCAGATGCAGAGAATGAAGCAGAAAGAGGTGAGGTGCCAGAGGGTTACAACGAATCCCTAGAGGAACTGTTAGGGGGAAAGGATGTCCTAAAGCTAATTCCATACAGGCTTTGTGGACTCCACCCCCACCCCAGGCCAAAGCCAAAGACACTGGGAACTCCAAATCCCATCATCACCAAAGGGAAGGTGGCTGGGACCTGAGGGTGGGGTTTAGCAGCCAGGTTGATAAAAGGCAGACATGTGGGCTTTGGAGGGGATCCCCCATTTTGGCTCTCCGCCAGCTCGCAGCATCCGGCCAGCTCTGAGAGTGCCTTTGGGTTTCCAGGTCGGCGGATCAGGTAGGACGCATTAAAGACTTTATTTCCCTATTTTCTCCCTGAGTTGTACATTTCCTTAATTCCCTTTCCTTGTAAATAAACCTTTTATTAACCTTTTGTGTGTGTCTGTAGTGGAGTATTAATAAGTCCCTTGTAAGCGCGCAGGTGAGGACCCACAGCCAGGAACCCGTTCAATATCGGGGCTGCCCTATAACAGAACTACTACAAATAGATGAAGGAATAAATTCAAACTCTCTATATTGCGATAGAGAATGTGACTTAGGATTAAGTTTTATATAATGACGGGGCCTTGCGGGGTTGCTCTACAACAGTATGAATAAATGGGGGATGGGGACAGAGAAGCAGGGAGATGTTTCACAACTAAGAAAATTATCTGAAAAGATGGAAAATTATGAAGAGGTATTGGTCAAGGGAACATTGAAGGGAGGGGTGTGTTTGCTCTTTCTCAAGAGTGTTTCAATTCTTATGCAATCTGCATCTCCCAGGTCATATTGGCCTAGGGAGTAAAAATAGGAACAGAAGAAGAGAAACAAACAGTCATTTTCTGGGTCAACTTTCTTTGCCACACACAAGACACAAGCGTGTGGGAGCAAATCTCTTGCTTTTTTTCTGCCCAACTGCTGTGGTGAGAGCTGGGAGCCGCAATGCTCTTGGCAAGAGACAGCTCGCCTTGTGTCCTGCTCATAGCCCTAAGGCTGTTCCACCTTCTGCTTTGTTCCATCCTGGCACTACCTCTCTGGAACCTTGAATGGGTAAAGGGCCCTCCTTGGTATCTCCCAAATCAATGTCCAGGTAACTGGTCTTGTTATAGGACAGGGAGAGGGTCAGCCCAAACCCCGCAAACCTGCCTATTCTAAATGGGTTCTGCCATCCGCCGCATCAACACAAAACATATGAGACTTTAATGGGAAGGAACTTTAATAAAACTAGGAAACAATACAGGAAAGGCAAAGAGTCTAGTTTCTAAATGAAGCACCCAAAGTTACCCGTCCCCTCGTGGGTAAAAGTCCATCCATATGGGATCGGCCCAGAACAAGGCCCCAAAGCCCGCCACAAGTCTAAAGCATCTTCCAGTGGGGACCCACAGAAAAGGGTCACAAACAACTGGACAAGCCCGGAAGGAAAAGAGCAAAATCAACATCAAGATAAAAGCTGCCATTGTCACCTCCCCACGGGTCTCACCCACATCTGTGTCACCCAGTCCACGACCAAAAAAGACAAGCGCAGTTTCTTCACGTGTCTCTAGGCTCCACGCGCCTCCTCCAGGTCTCCTGCCTCCATCCTGCTTCCTTCCTTCCTCAGTCTCTTCTTCTGCAGCTTCTCCTCTTCCTGCTCAGCTCCACCCTTCCTTGGGTGGGGCAGGGAACCTGGAACCTCCCCCTTTCCTGGGGACCACCCTGTTACAATCCCCTCTTTTAATTTTTATTCCACCATATCTATGGTGGCACAGATGTCATGGTGTAATGTTAGGAGACAGTCTTTTTTTCAGGGTCACAATGTGTGTAAGAGAAGCAACAATTAGTCAGCAGCATTGTCCATGAATGTCCAGTATGACAGTTTCATTACTTAAAAATAATCCATTATCCAAGCCAAAAGAAAAAAAGTTGGAGCATTGGCTAAAACAAGATAGCAAATATATCAAAATCACAGGGAAAAAATGTTAAAATGGTTCAACTGATGTAAAACACAAATTTTCTCAACCTTGATCCCAAACTTTTAACAGCATAGCAAAAGTTTGCAAACTAAATCTACTTTTAAATCATTTTTCTTATTTTTGCATAAAATCACAGGGCAGAAAATAACTAACAGCAATTTTTAGCTGGCTTTGTTGAAATACTCCACACAGGATCAGAGCGAACCGGTGGCATCCAGTCGATGTATGCTTCAGGTATAAAGTTGGTCTCATCAGACTCCACCTGGGCTTTCCTCTTCTCGAGGGTACCAGGGCATTTTGTTGGCCGGGTTGTCCAGTCCTGCCAATGGAGGCAAGCTTCCTCACCTTCTTTGGAGGTCTCTGGAACCCTACAAACAAGGCAAACAGGTTCTCCTCTTCTTGGTTCAGCTCTTTTTCAACTTTCTGGAAGAACTCCACACAAAGCCACACAATCAAACTCACGTCCAATTTTCGTTAAAACAGACAAAATCCCTATGGAAGTTATGCAAAAACAGACTCTGAAATAAGTAGCAAAAATTACTACCACTATTTGTATGCTGTGTTGGTATCAAGGGGAGAGAAATGTGACAAGTTAGCTTTGCTGGAAAAAAATTACAACCTTTCTGCAGATCCTGGTTACTCAAAACAAAACAAAACAAAACACAACAAAAACTTCGTGGATTCAGGACAGAATGCATAAAAAAAAATTTCCAGTATTATGTCAAAGAAACCTTAGTAAATGTCAGGTGTATTTCCAGGTCTATTGAGTCCTTTGTAAGAAAGTTTTACTCTCAACAGTTCCATCAATAGGAATCTGTTGAGACCTTTTGTCCCTATATTTCCAGAAACAATTTCTGTAGATGTGAAACAATTGAATTATACAATATTACAAGGTGACAATCACCACTGACAATTTACATACATACCCGATACTACTGTTAACATATTGTACATACCAAGTTTTACCATTTTCCCAAGTGACAATGCTTCCCTTCCAGTTTTACTTCATTAGGTAAAAGCCAAATAGAACAAATTCATGTAATGCTTTCCCAGGAGGAAAAGGAGAAACTTCGTGGAGTGTCTCAGGAGCTCTACTGAGGTTCCACAAAATTTCCTTGCATCAGTCAAATGACAGGCCACCAAATTTGTACTTGAATTTAGATTTTTGGGAAGCTTTGCCATAAATATCAGAAAATTAACAGAAACAACAATATTTAATCTCTATGAAGGCACCGGCTTAGTTTAGTAGCACAATGTTGACAATGAAACCATAACCTTTAGTTTTTCTCATAACTGGAGACTCTTTTTTTTTTTTCCAACATTTATGGGCATCATGTATACCAATTTTAACCTCTAGAGGCCAAGACAGTTAGACACAAGGACATACAGACATACAACATGTAGACAAGGACAGTTTTTTTTTTTTAGTTATGCCACGTGGAATATGTTAGGTAACTGCAGTTTTACTCCATAGGCTCAGAAAAAAAATGTCAAAGTCAAAAAAATGTG